GATCTGCAACTTTCCTCCAGTTTAGTATATGAGCTGARGCTTTAACTATCAGCTTACTTTCCCAATCTCCTCTCTGTAAGTTTACTCCCATTCTGTATTTGCCTGCCCCAGCTGTCACTAAAAGAGTCTATTGGTTATTATTGCTCACCAGACTAGTAGAACTGCTTGTCTTCCTTTTTACTGTTACTTCTCTTTTAGCACCCAAGCGTTGCAGCAGTTCACATAAGACCCCATGCCTTCCACCCCTGACTCTTCCTTCCTTCTGGGAGGCAGACCATCTGCTTTCTACCCTTGCCAAAAAATTCTGTCAAGGAAATAAAATAACCTTTAAGGTTTCACTTACACTCTACAACAAACCTTCTTCCAGTTTCTGAGAGAAACTCTTTCCAACTATTTTGTTTGCCTTTGTTACTTGCACCTTCTACAAACTCCTTGAACCCTTCAATTACCCCCAAACCTTCTAACAGCACCATCCCTCTCTTTGCTTCCCTGATTTTCAAGCTCAGCTGACCATTTAATCTCAGCTCCTCAAATAGAAGCTCCTTAGTTTCAATTTTCAAAGCTTTTCTCCAACGGCCTACCTCCACAAACTCTCCCATCTCTCCTCAATGGGAGAGTTTTTTTAGATAGGGAAAGAAGTCTTCCGGATGTCCTGGAGGCTGGAGGTGATTAAGATTAGAGTGATGCATTGGCTGAAGTCTTTGAATCTGTTTAAAGATTTCTTAGCGGATGATTTGTTTAGGAATTGGAAGGAATTTGCAAGATCAGCCCCAATTAAAGAAACATCCCTACCTATTTGGGCTCTTAGTGGATTTTTCAAATTAAGTTTCGATGGAAGCAGCATGGGTAATCTGGTTCCCTCAGGTATAGGGGGTGTTCTAAGAAATAAGGTGTGTGTGGTAATTGCTCTTTTTTCGGGGCCAATTGGAATGGGTGATTCTCTCCGGGCTGAGATTTCGGCTGTTATTGAAGGAATTCAAAAGGCAAATGAACTGAACATCACCCAACTAGTTGTAGAGGGAGACTCTAAATTGGTAGTAGATTGGCTGAAAGATGATACTGCTAGTTTTTGGAACTACAGCAATGAGAAGAGGAAATTCAAATGGTTGACTAATGATATTGAAGTGAAGATGAACTGGGCAAAAAGAAGTACTAACTCCTTTGCCGATGGGTTAGCCAAACAAGGGGTAACTAGGGACTCCTTGTTCTGGGCTATCTTGTAATTTTTTTTTCTCTCTATTTTTTGTCTTTGGGTTGATGAGTTAAGAGAGCTTATCTCCCCTAAACCTGTATCTCTGTATCTTTTTCTCCTTAATATAATGAAAGTTGAGTTATTGATAAAAAATAAGTATTATATATACATACATATATATAATATTTTCCTTTGTTCCTCCTCTTTTATCAAGCCATAATGAAATCCTTTGGTATTTTTGGGTTATGGTATTGTTTAATATAAATAAATCAGTTTTGTTGTTGAGTAATTTTTTTCTCAATTTCCTAGCCAAGCATTGGGCTCTATGAGGGCCAAGCTCAGGCCTGGGCCTGAATGTGTTCTGTTGATATAGATGCAAAGCGTGGCCCGACCCATGAACAGGTCTATTAGCCATAAGCCTACCTCTTCCATACCTTCGAACAGTTCTGTTGGGATACCATCAGGTCCTAATGCTTTTTCCTTCTTTATCTTGTTTGGTGTCTCCATTTCAATTATTATAATTTTATGAAGGTATATGTTATTTGTAGTACTATTAGACTTACTAATCTTTCCTTTGGTAGCACCCTCTACATGTTATTAATTTCCTAACAAATTATGAAATTATCTTGCTTGAAAGTAGCATGCTAATGGATGCTATAGTGCCTACAGTGGTTCATAATAGCTATTTTACAGTGACTGCATTTATTGGATATTATCACAACAACTATTAGCACTGCTTGTAGAACATTTTGTATTTACCCTTGCAAATGAAGTTAGTGGTAATCCATAATATTGAACTGTCAAAAGAGTGATAGTACCATAATTTATTTCCCAGATTTATAACTTGGTGGTCTCATGTTTATGGGTTATTTTTTCATTTCTTTCTTCAGGATCCTTTTTCTTTGGAAAGGTTGAATTGACAGCCATTTAATTCAGCTCTTGAATTATGTGCATTGAACTCCATTAATTTTCTCTAGATCAGAAAAAAGAAAATATTGTATAGATCTCTCTTTCTCTCTCTTGGGGGGAGGGGACTCTTTCCAGTGTACCTCGATTCAAAGTATATTTTACCACCACTAACGAATTTATTGCAATGGATTTTCCCACAGATGTTCCTTTAAGTGCCAGAAACATTTTGGAAGATCTTGAATTGAAGACTGCTGTAAAAGCCTTCAGGTAAGTAAATTAACAGATTTAAGAGTTATTTTCCCATCTTATTCTAACTTGTGAAAGTAAATTTAACCTATTTCGTACCATATATATACAGTAATACACTATTTGAAGGAGAAAGGGAAGTTTATTACAAAAAAGCATATTAACACCCGTACACCTGCAATCTATCCTAATTCATGATTTCCATAGCATTCTAAGCTGCCAATTCACTTTCCAACCTACACACTAGGGGACAACGTGTTAAAAGATGGTTCTGGGGCCCTGAATCTCCTTGATCATAAGGAATAATATCCAACAACTTTTACCTAGCTACCTAGTACCTACTACCTATAACACTGCCCTGCATAAGTAATATTTGATGGCTCCTTAGGACTATAACGTTTTTTAATGTCCGGATAATTGGTTAGGACATTATTTGGCTAAGAGATTTGGAGTTCAGATTGTTCAAACTTAAAAGTGCAGGATTGTATTGATTTTTAAACCAACATAAAACTCCCAAATTGCTCAATCAAGGGACTGATGAATTACTGAACCATACCTGTGGAAGATAAGCTTTGATTTACTAGATATTTTGTTGATGGTGAATACATATCCATTGATGAAAGTAAATGCAACCTGTTTTATATTTATACTGGTTAAAGAAAGTAGGTAAATGCTTGTGTATGGACTGCCCATGGTGCCCTGGATCTAAATGGAAGAAAATGTTATACTTAATAACCCCATGTAGTGAATTAATATTTAAGACACATCTTTAAGCTGTCTTCATGTGATTTTCGGCTTCCATGATGGACAAAGTCCATGATGGTAGTATTGCCTAGAGGTGTAAATTGGGCCGTGCCGCCCGCGGCCCAGCACGGATTTGGACCGGCCCGGCACGACCCGACATGATGGTCCGCGGGCTGTGCCAGGCTTGGCACGATCGTGTTGGCCGTGTTGGGCCTGGGGTTTTAGGTCCACGTGCGGGCCATGCTGGCTATAAGAATGAGAATGCAGGTTTTAGTCTAAGAGTGGCCACTGTGTAAAAATGCACCAAAGGCTGGAATCTGTATCCAGTCTACCCCTCCCAAAACCCCAGATGGCTGTGACAAGAGGCCTAGATTAAAGATTCTGTGCTGCAAGCTTGGATTATACAACACTTATTCTTTAGAGGAATCCTTTTTCATTCCATGTACTGTTCATATTTCTTTCTAATACTTGAATTGTACAAGTAGTTTCTCTCTTTCTCTGTGTGTGTGTTTCTCAATAATTACAAATCTTTTTTCTTTATAAACAGTGGAAGGGCTTGTATCTAGGACTTACCTTTGTTCCCTTTTTCTTTTCTTTTTTTTTTTTTTTTAACAGAGAACTTTCTTGGTATCCTACCAAGAGAAGAAATTATCACAATTGTTGTCCTGAAGAACCAAGAAACAAAAGGCACAGTGTATATGCTAGAGCTCCAAATCTATCAAGAAGAGATTTATACCACTCTACTACCTCTAGGAAGGTGGCATCTAATGCCATCTATTCAGTTCTTCAATCTAGTTGCCTGCAACACTGGTTCAAAAATTGGCAAGAACTAAGAAGGCATAAACTGACTGCAAGCACATTTGGTGGAGCTGTTGGGTTCTGGCCTGGTCGAAGAGTTCAGCTTTGGCAAGAGAAGATTGGGGTGATTGAGCCTTTCACTGGGAATCTTGCAACTTGTTGGAGCAATATCAAAGAAGAAGAAGCGCTTGAAAGGTATAAACTGATAACAGGAAATACTGTCTCTTTTCCTGACTTTCAGATTTATGGTAAGAAGAATCCTGAAGATGACTGGCTTGCAGCTTCACCAGATGGGGTAATTGACCAGTTTGTTTATGGGTTGCCTTCACGTGGAGTGCTGGAAATTAAATGCCCATATTTTAATGGAGATATGCGAAGGGCTTACCCATGGTCTCGGATCCCTAACTATTGCATTCCTCAAGCTCAGGGATTAATGGAAATATTAGACAGGGACTGGATGGATTTCTATGTCTGGACTCCCAATGGCAGCAGTTTGTTTAGATTACACAGAGATGTAGAGTACTGGAGGATTCTGAAGGTGGCTTTATCTGATTTCTGGTGGAAGCATGTACAGCCTGCTAAAGAGCTGCGCATGAAGTCCAGAATCACAGATCCCCTCACTCAAATGAGTTCTCTCAAACCAGAACCCAGGCATGAATTGTATTGTTCCATTATTTGTGCAAGCAAACACCTGGTTGATAGTTCTAAGTTATTGATGCGAGAAATTCATGGGGCATTGCTAAACTAGTAATTTGAGTTATCTTAAGATATTCCAGTTTGGAGATTAAACCAGCAACCTTGAAAAAGTAAAATCTAGAGTTGGGGATAAATGACTGGTTGTTATTGACATCTAAGCATCAAAAAACTTGAAATGAAGCAACAACTGGATAATGGAAAGGAGAGACGGCAGAGTTGGAATAGGGACAAAGGTTGTTGATCACAACAAAGAAAGATGTTCTTCAATTTGAGAATGTGAAAATCAACTCCTTGATATTAGCTACTGGAGGAATGCGTGTGTTTGCATACCCATACATTGGGAGGCAATAGCTCCTATATTCGCAAGCAACAAGAAGTTATTTGATTTTCCCGGCAGATATGAAAGTACCAAATGAAGTTGTTACTTAGGCATTGATTGAGAGAGTTCCAGATTGAGAAAAGGTACTTGTAGCGCTGACAAGGGTCTACAAGGAACAGTGCAAGTTGCAACTGTAAGTCTCTGTGCATTAGTTTTTCTTTCTTCTTTTTTGTTACCGTCTTTGTGTGTGTGGGTATGTTTATTGTATTGTACTTCTTCCAAGGGGGATATGGGTTGAAGGATCATTGCTTGGTGTGATAATCTTGAGACAAGCATGAAAGCACCAGATTCTGAGTCAGGGAGTGGCAACTTCATGCCAGTAGTAGTACATTCCTAGCTTACTGTTGTGGGACATAGTATATACCTGATATGACACGATACTTTATGGACACATTTGGAGTATACTATATAGCATTTAACACTTCTAGAATGTGTAAAATAATTTGTTTTAACCAATCATACCATAAAAATCTGTATACGTAAGAATTAAACTTGGCAATATTGAAAGATAAACTACTCAAAACTAGATTTAAAAGCATAATAAGCAAATTAATTAGGATACATAATACTCATGTTCATGTCTAAGATATTAGGAAATGGAGTGTCATGTTCCCCCCCCCCTTTTTTTTTATCAATAACAATGAATTTTATTAATAATTGAGAAATTGAGAAATTGAGGGATGCAAATAGATTCCATCATTTTAAAGATGGTCTATGTTCTTGTAGAGATTATTGGTAAAGTAACAACATCTCTAATCCATGAAGAAATTAAGCATATGATCTGCTGGATCCACTATTCCAAGGGTCCGTGATAGAGGTGTGCTTTACTAGAAACTGACATAGCTGGATGATCATAACCATGTTAGGAAAAAAGAATTGTATGTGGTCCACGAGATCTCTAAACCATTCACAATTATGATGCATGTTTTCTATTTGAGTGACCCTTGGCTAGTAAGTCCCATTGCCCTGCATGTGCTCTACATGTGCCATGACCCACTTTATGCTGTTCCTTCAATTGATATAACAGGTATACCATATGTTTCTCCATCCAATATGATATCTGGTTGTTTCTATTAAGAACACAAACTCAACACTAATCCATGTCTGCAATGTGAAAATGACAGGCCCATATATGAACATGAGAATTTCAAGATGGGCAGTGCATGCTAGCTTTCATAGGGTGGAAAAGGTTAGTTTCTTTTGCCTTTCATCTGAGTTTGGCTTTAGAGTAACTCAGTTCTGTCTGTTGAGAGCAAGAGGTGTATATAACTTCCCATACAGATTATGCTTTCTTTAATATAAACCCCATAGTTATATTACCTTTCAGAGACCATTGCATGGTGTGGATGGTAAAATCTCATTCTGGAAAGTTGAGAAAAAAATGTGTTTGAATCTAAGAGCAGTCACTTATGCTAAAAATGCTGGAGGTTAGGTCCACATCAAAGTCCATTCCTTACAAACCCCGGACAGACAGGAGAAGCACTGGGTAATGGCTTTTTTTTTTTTTTTTAATTTCCTTTCATTTCTTGCTTGTGCATCTATAATCACACATTTTTATATGCTTATTTCTCTTCTGGTGATTAAAATGTAATTGAAGGCCCCAGTTCATGTAAAGGTAAATCTCCCATTTAGAATGTCAGAAGCCTTTTTTTATCAAGGCAACCCTATAGTTATATTATTGAATTTATTTAATTTAATTATCCAATTCAGTTTTTCTTTTTTTTTTTTTCAGAAGCATTCATGGAAACTACTCACGCTATTACAATGGCAGAAAGTTGTGTTTATCATGCTCACTTGTATATATTTGTCTACTATTAATTGATATAGGCTAGTCTGATTTTTTTTTTAAATTCTCTCCCAATTTCTTAACATTTCACAATTCTTTACTTGATCAATTAGAAATGTGAGGGCTTGGTTTCTTACTTTCAGGTTGAAAATCTTGATCTCTTGGATCTCAAGATTGGCTAAATGAATCAGTACACCGCAAGCAAGGTCAACTAAATGAATCAAGTTCTCTTGCTTGAGAAGATCCTAAGATCCAGTAAATGAATCAGTAAAGCGCAAGAAGCATCAACTGAACGAATCAAGTTCCTGAGGCTGAGATGCAATAATTCTGCTGGTGTTGGACATGTTCTCAATAACCTTCATCGCACACTCATTCTTCAATGAGGGACATATTTCAGTTGTAGATGTTTTATGTGACAAATACAATTTATCTTACCTGCTTTGTAAAAGGGAATAACGCTAACCACTAAAGTTGCTGAAAATAAGAATTTAGAACTAAATTTAAAGGTTGCTCATTTCAAGTCAATAAATAAAATCTTCTTTTAGTTCAACTGATCTTACAATGACACTAAGTCCTCAATAGTTGCTGTAAACAATACTAGAACCTGTTTAGATCTTCCAAATATTTGCAGTGGCTTCAGTTTGACCAGTTTCACTCCATTCTTAGCATGCATTGTTTTTCTTCCTCTTCTTTCACCAATAATTTGACCAAAATGGTCAATGGAGCAAGTGGTCCATGAGTTTAATCCTCCAAGAGAAACAGCCCCTCAAACAAAGGTAAAGTTCACCAAAAAATGTGCTCCCATCAACTGTTGGGTGGTAACCAACATCTTCCAGAAAATGACTTCTGCATCTTAACCTACTTGTGGAAAGGCATTGTTTAAGCAAGGCAAACAATAGACTTATCTCCTGATTTGCGATTGTGAAAGTCAGGATACATGATATTCTTGACACTAGATTTTAGTGATCGCAAGATCTTCACTATGTTATGTTCAAGAAAAATCATACATGTCAAGTTTATTCATGTGTCATTTGCATGGGATTTGACCAGAATTTTAGGTTTATATTGGTGAATTACGGTGTCTTGATAATTACTTTATTAGAAATGAACATTTGCTCTATGATTTAACTCATATACTGTTATCTTGTAGCCAAAAAAACTTGTAGTGTTCGCACATTTCCAACTCATGGTGTTTCTGCATTTGATCAAAAGAAACAGTTCCAACTTTGGACATTGACCTTATCTAGCACTCCAACTAATACATCCTGAAGACCTGATAGAAACAATTGGAAAGGTGTCAGAGCATGATGATACATGCTTTGACAGCCAAAGTAACTGGATGTTGGATTTTCTGAATTTACCATGCAGAATGAAGATACATTTAATTCTACATGTTGAAGAGCAGGGACAATGTATAGAGAGGTACTGATCCATCTCCTGTTATGGTAACACTAAAATTATTTCAGTAATTAAAATTCATGAATTACATATGATATGTATCTTATGTCTTCTAATGGATCTGATATATCTTCTAAATTAAGATTATATATTTCTATGAATTATTAATTAATACATTAATGTACTATAAATGATTACCAAAAAAAGTGTACTATAAATAACAACATATTTACTAACAAATAAAAACATTACTCACAAAACTAATTTAATTTACATTAGTTATATTAAGAAGTTATATGGTCATTTGCTAGCATATTAAGAAGTTGACTTATTTTTGGTAATGGACCAAGGTATAAGTAATAAAGTATAGAATAGTTGATTTAATAATTAAGATATGATTGTTGCATATGATTTGTGCTATTTTGTCTTGGACTCTGGATCTATGGTTCTACATTCTCATGAATATAATTTCATCTAGCCCCGTGAAACAGAGGAGTTGAAGTGGACAGCTCTTCAAATGACTGACCAACAGCTAATTTGCGCTCTTGGGATTTTTCACCAAAGATAGCTTATAGGCCATCTGTATAGGGCCCAGTTCAGAAGGCTAGAAGCTGCCATGCTTCAGCCCTCTCATAGCCTATTTGGGAGGCTTCTGTAAGTGATTGAGTTGCTTTGACTGAGCGGCTTCTGAGAAATGGCTTCATTGGAAAATCTATTTTTTGGCTCATGGAAGCCTCTTTTTGGCTTTCCGGATTTTATCAAGGCTTGATGACATGGTTTCTTGGCTCTTGCAATACGAGAAGCCGCAACGTGAAAACCCTCCTAAACAGGCATTGAATATCCAAGCTTTTGGCTTTAAGTTTCTAACAATGAAATGGCAGGACTTGGTGAGCTCACTGCCATGTGGTACTGTATTACCATCAGATTGCTAAGGCAACATGCAATTGATTCACATGGTTGCAAGCATGATTGAAATACTTAATGGAGGAATAGTTGTCAAAATAAAACTAAAAAGGCGTGTAGTGCCAGCACCATTCTTCATAATACAATCATTTCTCTGTAGGTACTTTTTGAATTAAGAAATTCAACTGTGTAGAACTGATCACTTGGAGAAAACTCCAATACAATATGTGATATAGGGCTGATTTGGACCAGGGAGTAACTGTATAGGCAATCTGGAGAGCCCCATGGACAGTTTAGATTTGCTGCATCATTCCTCCGCATGGAAAACAGATGAGAGCATCTAGAGAAGAAGACTAATTGAACTAATTAGGGTACCTTCTTCTGTAAGTGATTCATATCCCAATAGTCAAGCTGAAGGAAGAATGTCCAAGGCAACTTCCTTGAGGGATGGCATCACTTCCTGTTGATGCAAACAAATGTATTTATTGTTTATTTTCCTCAGGACCTTCCAAGGACCTGGATAACACCTGCTAGAGACCAGATTAATACCGTTAACAAATAATGCACCAAATTTTCAAAGCATAAAGTAGTAGGGACTACTTATAAGATTACACGTGTTGTATGTATGTGTCCTCTCATCACACTTATTAAGAGCACGCGGTCAAGCCTTCTCATTTGATACATGTCTTTGATACGAGCCCTAGGAAGCTGGCAGACAAGGTTAAAAAATGCAAACAAATTTCCTATGGCAAGGTGGAAGAATAAAAGATAAAAGAATCACTGTCATATGACAATGGGTGTATAAGACAAAACATAGATAATGGGTGCATTAGATAAAACGTATGGGAGGATCAAAGATATGGAGCATAGAGTTGATGAACAGAGAGCTTTGAAGAAAAATGACTGGAGGTTTTGAGAAAAGAAAGGGACATTATGAAGAAGGGTGCTAATGGAAAAAATAGTTTTCAGATGGGAATCCCTTTAAGAAACATCTATACATGGGATATCTGTTTGGAAAGGGATCGTGAAATGTCACAATGATTTTAGCTCATTTTGTTGTTTGTGTTGGCGCTCGGACTATAAGTCAGGTTTTGGGAGGATGCTCGGACTTTAAGTCATGTGACTATAAGTCACATACTCACATGGAACCAGACCATAATGATCAAAGAATTTTCTACAACACATAAAATAAAGGTGGTCGTGGAATTTACATGTAAAACTGCAAAAATATGGGTTAGTGCATTTCCTCCAAGGATAAAAGCATTTACATGATTTATGAGTATACGAATTAAGCCAGATTTTGGTGATAAAATGAGAGAGAATAGGCTAACATGGTTTAGTCACATGCATAGAAGACCACCAACAGTTCCAATTAGAAGAAGTGATTTGTTACAAGTTGAAGGGGTTAGAAGAGATAAGGATAGACCAATAAGGACATGGGTAGAAATAGGAAGAAATGATTTAAGCACTATAGTTTAACAGTTAATATAGTTGGGATAAGGCATGGATACTGAATTATGTCAGATTTTTGGAGGATACAACCTTTGGAACTTCATACTATGAAATTTATATCCTTGTATTTACAGATTATGCTTGTTAAGGAATAGAATCTAGAATTATTGAATGCCATGAGATCAGAAGTCAAGTGGTTTGTAGGAGTCGAATATGGAACCAAACCACGAGGATCAAAGAATTTGGGAGGATGATCCAAGGATATATTCTCAACTAGATATTTCAACAACATATAAAATAAGCGCGGTTGTGAAATTTAAATGTGGAACTGCAAAAATAAGGAAAGCATTTACATGGTTCATGGTGCTAGGCAGAATTCCTAGACAGGGGCAAGCAAATATGTTTTCTGAATACTGAAGACAATAAGGATGTCAATCGCTTTTTCTTTAATTTCAAGGCACTAAAAAAGATTTGTCTATCTTTTATTTTTATCTTCCAGGTCGATTGGATGGTTTCAAAATAGACATGAACTGATGCAGAATTGGCCTTTTATTTCCTTTAAAGCAGAAGAGTGGATATTTACATAGGATAACCTTTTTTTTTCTTTTGGTATTATTTTTGGTTTGTCTAAGGAACAACACACAAAAGTCTCTGAGGGCATCTCAACATATATACCCAAAGTCTGTTAACCTTTTATGTTTTTGTATGGTGATCTACACTATATTCAGATAATCTCAAACCCCTTTCAATTACTTGTACACTTCTGTATATCTAAAACATTTGTTAACAAAAAAATAGAAAAATTAGGAACCCTATTCAAATAGTGAAGTCCTCCAAAAGAGAATCAATATATTTTTATTTCATTTTTCTCCAACTGGGCAGAGGTAACATGTATTTTTAGTAGTATGAGTTTTATCCTAGAATTTAGTGATAAATATATCTCTAATAGGGATTTATTCTTTTCCTTTTTTATTTGTTTTGGTTTTTAGGTCTCCTTTTTTTTCTTGGAAGATGTGCCAAGAAGATAATAAAGACAAAGTTGACAAGTGATCTCACAACAAACCTGAATAGTGCTCCTCCATTGCGCCCTTTAAAATTGTGAATGTAATACACTGTCTCCATTTTGGGAAAGAAGGTCTTTGAGAGTGCTGCCAGCTTTGGATAGAAGAATGGTGGATAATCTTGGTTCAACTCAAGGTCAACTCTGGTCTTAATAGAGTGGAAAAGCCAATCACTGTTTCAAGCATATCTTCAAGAACTCCTTTCTTATACTTCTAGAAACCACTTAAATGACAGTGGTTTTTTTGGATAATTTCAGTATCTCTAGTCTTCTAAAGAGTTAGGTTCATAACCAGCCATTTTTCTTCATATCCAAAATCAATGTTCTAAAAAAATCCAAACCCATAAAACAAATGGGTTATTATTTATCTGTGGAAACATAGTAATGACATGTAATATACAGAAGGATACACCCACTTCTTATGCGATCGAGCTCCCCATTAAATATAATTAGTTTCCGAGCAGTGTTTACTACAGCTTCTCTGTAAAGCTCTTCCACCACAAGCATTTCTGGATTGCAAATGGGAGTTCTTGATATGTTAAGCCTACAAATTGAATATTAAATGGTGAAGAGAGAGTTCAGAATTACCATTGACATTAAAATATGGATAAGCAACCATGAACAATTCATCCTCTGGTTTTACACGATCTGCCATTTTGACCTTTGAAACAAAACCGAAATCTTGAAAAAATGATGGCTTTGTGAGATAGTCTAGCTTAAATAAAGCTCCTCCAAATACTGATTTTCTTGCAAATTCAACTTCATTTGCCTCTGGGAAAAACTGGATGAAATGAAGTTAGGTTCAAATACATGGACAGAAGAAAAATTCAAGTGACTGAATGCAGAACATGCATACCAACACTTTTCTTTGAGAATTTCTGTGCATATATTTTACCATGTGAGTGAACTAGATGTATTGATTTCTTGTACTAGAAAACCGCATATAATTCTTAATGGAATATAAACAAAAGAAAAAGTACCATGAGAACTACTAATGAGAAATGGAAAGTGGTCATCTTCCCAGAGAAATCTCTGAAAGAAATCCAATCACCTTAGCTGCATTACTATTTTTTTTCCTTCTTTTCTCATTATCTCTAATTAAGAAAAATTTCAAACTTGATAGTCGTGCATCAAGACCATAGAATAGACCAGACTTTTTTTTTCCAGATTGATACTGCTACAATGCAGATATCATGTAGCTGGACAGGTTAAAAGGTATAGCTGAGATGAGGATGCTGGTATGAATAATGAGTGGAAAGTCTACAAAGGATAATATTAGAAATGAGTGCATTTAGAAGACTTGGGAGTAGCTCCATTTGATCACAAAATGAGGGGAAGTTGACTTTGATGGTTTACTAGTATGCATAGATGATACAAGGACTGCATCAGTGAGGAGTGTCTTGGTGAAAGTAGAAGATTCTAAAAGAGCGAAGGGAAGACGAAAGAAAATATAGGGTGAAAAAGTAAAAAAATGATAAATAAGGACATAAGATTTGATAGAAAACAAGGTTCTTGATAGAGCACAATGGTCGAATAGGATTTGTGTAGAAAACATCAAGTAGTTAGGATTAAGGCTGAGTTAAGTAGGGTTATATGAAAGTCCTGAAATATCCCTATTTCAGGCATCCAGTTACAATTCTTTGGACATTGTTCTCCTTAGTAGCACTTGGATCCTGTTTATATTATTTCTTTGTCAAAAATCTCTGGTAACTGAAATGGTGTTATGCCAAATGAACTAATCTATAATGCCTCAAGGATCAACAACTTTCATAAGCCTAACATTGTCAAAAGATCAAGTAAGAATGCTTTTCTACTTGTCTGCAGTCATTCAACCAAAAATGTATATTTAGTATCATCAGAGTTGAATTTTGGTTGCTTACTATTAAGCTAAAATGATATTTGATAAAACATGGAAACAACTTTCATAAACCTAAAAAATTAGCATTCTAGCATTTTCCTTTTTAAATGAAGAAACATAAAGAAACAAGAGTATGTTCAATAACAATCTAACATACTATTCTGGTTCGCATAGCTTTCTCTGGACTTATAAACCGGTCACAAAACTCTCGAATCAGCTGCATGCTCTCTGTCATTTCTATACCTCCCTCACCATCACCTGATGCAAGTTTTACATACAAGAAAAGGCACTTCAGACCAACTGGTACAATGGATTTAAAAAATAATAGAATTACATAGGTTGTACAAAGAACCTGGAACAGATTCAAGTCCAGAAGTTGGAAACTCAATCTCCTGTAACAAATATTTGGTGCTCATGATTATGTGGTAGCTATAGGGGTGAAACCTGTGTTTTTCTGATATCATTGTTCACAGACACAAAGACAAGAAAACAAAACAAAACAAAGAAAAACTCACCATCAGCTGCTTTTTATCCTCCAAGGCCAATTCAGTTGCCTGTTTTGCCTGCCGGTTATTATTGACAAGGATTAATGAACATTTAAAATTGAAGATATGAAATGGCAAGGGAGAGAGGTGATATGTTTCAAGGTTAAAGTTCAAGGGATTTCCAATTAATATTTGTGAGAAGTTATATATACAAAGTTCCTCATTTTCTTGGTAAGAAAGCATATTGGATGGTATCCCATCTCAATTTCTGATTATATTCCTTTCACTTTCTTGGATTATTATAGGAAACTGATTATTAGAAACACTGAAATCTAGGGAAGTTGCATATGTACATGACTTCCCTACTGAAACCATCTTTGGTTAATGAATGAGCATAGTTAATGAATGAATAAGCAAGAGGTCTAACAATGAGTGTTTTTTCCCAGGTTAATGAACGAATAAGCATTGTTAATGAATGGGCAGAATTACTATGCTTTTCATGTTAATAAGTTCAGTTGCTGCTTCTGAAAAAAAAGCGAGAATCCAAATGTGTAATAATATACCAGCAGAAAGGAATAAGCAACAGGTTTAACAGTGAGTGTTTTCCCCCAGGTTTTTTTCCAAGTTAGCATCACCATCATTGAAGTGCAATAAGTTTTTTTTTTTATTTTTTTTTGTGGCGAAGTGCATTAAAGTTGCTTCCTTGTTAGTGTCCCTTCTCAAATTATCACTCTTCTCTATGCATTTGAAGAATTCAAACACTTGATTATGTCCAAGAAAAAACACTCAATTTCTTGTTTAATCCCACCTATTTATTCAATTGTGCTTCCTAGATGGGAGAATGCTGAATCTTGGTTATTCTATCCAGCTCCTCCTTGTTTGAGGACAAACACCCCTCCCCCTCTGATGCAGTTGATTCATATATGCTGAAAGCCTCCTCTTTTCTACCTAAACAAACTTTCTCATCTCCTATTTCACCATTATTCTTTTTCTGAGCCCAACAATGCCCCCTCTTGATACAAAATAATTTAGTTTAGACCTTTCCACATCAACTCGATGGCTGTGATCACCATATAGAAGTGTCCCTAATATGATCCGAAACCCAAAACATGCTTTCATCCTTAAATTGATATCACTAAACATGTAAATATGACTCCTCAAAAGAATGATCCCCAGACTCCACTCTAATGTTGTCAAGCAAGACCACCACCAATTGGCATCTGCCTCATGGTGCTTTCATCCTTTACCTGATATCACTAAACATGTAAATGTGACTCCTCAAAGGAATGATCCCCAGACTCCACTCTAATGTTGTCAAGCAAGACCACCACCAATTGGCATCTGCCTCATGGTGCTTTGTCACTCCCCATAATATTGACATTCTACACCACACCTTTGCATCTCTCAATACAATAGAAAACTCACTTCTCCAAAGGATTTCCAGATGGACTTATTCCAGGATCATATAATAGTGACACTAGCTGGTGGAAAGTGGAAACGCTGATCATAAGATGTCCAGTTATGTTCAATAGAATCCTTTTATTGAGGCCATGAATTTAGTCGTGCTACTCTGTGCAAATTAACTGCGGCATGTCAAGCAAGGATACTGGTTGGCCAGGCTGCTACTTCCCTATAAAAAAATTATAAAAGAAAGAAACAGTCTGCTAGTTCTTTCTTACATGTTAACTGAACATACTATTCTGGGTGCCTTTTCTGTCTTAGGCTGCTACTAACAAACACAAACCCACGCCAGAAACTAAAATCTCTGAAGTTAATAATATGTTAACCACAAAAACTTCAACAGAGATATTCATAAATGAAGCAGAGTCTTACTTGTTCAAGAAGCTCCGAGTAATCTCTAGGAAATGGCACATCAAACCCAACCGAAGCACTAGCATCTCCGGAAACTGAATGAACCACAAAATCATAGTTTCTAGAAATCTTGATCGCTGAAAAGCTTCGGCAACTATTATTCGCAGTCTTGGAAATTTGAAGAATTGATCGATCAAAAACCTAAAATTTAACAGGCAAAACAAATCAGTTCAAGGGGTGCTCATAATTACGCATTTTAATACTTCTTTCACCAGAAAACTAGTACCCCAGGACGATAAGACCGGAGTAATCACTAACTTCACAATTCACAAATCAGAACCCTTACAAGTAAAAAGAGAAGGCAGGAAAAGATAAATTTTCTTCGGCAAAAAGAATGACCAACAGCTCAAGGAGAGAAGAAAATGAAGAAAGACAAGACGAAAATCACCTTATGCTTTGGAAGAGAAGCAATGGCAATCGGAACCCTGGTAACAGTTGAGGTGTCTGTTAACGGCATCTTTGAAACTCGGTTAATCTCCGCGCGGAAAACACAGGCAGATGCTTGAGCCGTTGAGGTTCCAACTTCCGGTTAGAGAAATTATGCAGTGTGACATGGAGATTCATGTCCAACGGATGTGTGGCTTAGACATACACATGGAGGTCCCACCAAACAACTCATCCATCTTCGCCTTGAAATGGTGAAAAAAGTGACCCACTGTCGGGATACGAATGATTATTCGGAAGGGGGTTCCAGGTGAACGGTATGTGATGTATGGCAGAGGATTTTCCGTGAATTTTTGAGGCATCACAGAGGCGCTAACCGACGATCACAGTGCATGAGATGGTCCAATAGGAAAATCTCATCTATCCAGTTAGGATAACACTTTTTATCATGAATTCATGAACATAAACTCCATACGTTTTAATTGAATTTCCTTGTTCAGAAAACTGCGAGGCAAGAAGTGTTCATCTGAGAAGTCGAAACTTCGAAACAACAGAGCAGAAATGGTGGCCGCATCACTCTCGTTCCTGTCAACCCTCCCTCCTTTGCTTCCTGGGTCTCCTCAGACATTTCTCATCACTACACATAGATACTTCCCTGTAAGCTACCCAACAATCCAGAACTCTATTCTTTGTCTGAGATCAGTAATGCTTCTTACTTTTCGTTAAAATTGTCATTTAAGTTGCTTCATTCGGAACCCCATTTGGATTTTCTCTCTTTCTATTTTCCCCTTTGTGGTTAGAAAATTTAGTTCCAGCGCTGAAGTTTTGAGTATGTAGAATTTATTACCTAAAGTGTCTACATCGAGAAGCTATTAATTTGTTACCTTCATACGGAAAATCAGGGTGGCATTTATTGCCGGAAGATTGAAGCTACAGTTCTTGATGAAGGTCAATTCCGTCGAAGAGATGTTCTTAAATGTGTTGGAGCTACCGTCGGCATGGTATTATACAGTAGTATCTCACTTTCTCAATTTATTTTTCAACTTTTTACAAGTTATAAGGGATTTTTGTGCTTCTTCTAAATTTCCATTTACCAAAAGATCCTCTGGTTTGTTGACAAAAAGGAAGGGAAAATTTTGAAAATTAATTACCTATATGGAATCCTAAACGCTTCGTGGCTTCATATAGCAACATTGTCTTCCATAAGGAAATCACAACAAGGAATTGTGGTTTTCGTAAGTAGATAATTCTGCATAAATATCTGTTTTCTGATATTCATGTTTTTAGGTCTTGGCCAAATTTGTTTCACTCCTATTAGTTCAGATTCCTTGATTCTAATGCTACACTTGGCATTTGGCAAGCCCTTTCTCCATTTAATGGGGTGATATCAATTTCGTCATTTTGTTCTTGGGGCAACGTATAGGTTGCTCCATTGTGACCTGGGTGATCAGGGTTCATATCTTGGAAACAGCCTCTCAGGGGTAAGGCTACATTTGTCCCTCCCCAGACCCCACATTGGCGGGAGCCTCGTCAACTGGGTTGCCCTTTATATAGCATGGGTTGTTAATTCAAAGAGACACTTTGAGTTCTTTTATATAGCATGCGTTGTTCTTCACTATGCCAAATGGACTTGGGATTTAAGTGCAGAGCTTATGAAAGTTCCAAAGAGAAATCTAATGTCTTTACTAATCTCAATTTAACAAATAAATGCACATCAGTATCATTGTACAGAAATGACAACATCAACCATTCCTCCATAACTTCTTTCTAGAATCTACTCAATGGAAATGGGGTCTCAAACATTCGCTTCATTAATTTTTAAGTTTTTTTTAATGAAGTATGGTCTATTCCTCCTTTACTTGCTATACCTGGTGGGATGGGCTGGGAGTTTATAACAGAATGCAACTAGGGCTTAGGGGTAAGTTGTATGTCCCCCTCCATTAGGATTGTCAATCTTTTTCTGGTTAATAACATTTAAGGTGCCCCCACCTCCCACCTTGAGTAAATTTAGAGGTTAAAAGAAGTTGATAGTTGACACCAAGAATACCTGAACGAGTTATGTGAATGACAATAATAGCTCTACATTAGACTTCAGTAATTACAAAGGTTTCTACTATAGAGGAGTGGTTGTCCTCTGAAGATGAATGCTTGGACATACACCAATATGTATGCAAAATTCAACTTTGTAGAATAATGTGATGATTAGTTTCTGCCAGTTGTTATCTCTCAGGAAATATTAGCAAGCTCTGGATCACTCGTAGAAATGGCCAGTGCTGCTGATTTAATACAACGAAGACAACGCTCTGAGTTTCTCTGTAAGTTCATGAGCAACCCTTACTTTCACATGCTAAGACTATGCAGAGTTGACTTAATTTTCTTTATTATTTTCACAGCGAGTGTTAAGGCGACCCTAAGTACCACCATAAAGGCAAGTTTTATTCACATTCTCAGTGATGAATATTCATATCTTCAACTATGAGGTACCAAAACTTTCTTTTTTCTGTCTTACAGGGCAATCCAGAGCTCATCCCATCCTTTCTAACTCTAGCATTGAATGATGCCATGACTTATGACAAGGTCAGACTCAGAACTTTACCTATTGAAAATTGTTGCCTTTGGAGTATCTGATGTGTCTGTGCGTATGGAAAAATGAACTAATGAAGGCAAGAAGAAACTCTCCTTTCTTTGTTTCCTTTTTTCAGAAATAAAAGACTTATCTAATCTGGTTATGTTTGCAGGCTACAAAATCTGGTGGTCCAAATGGATCAATTAGGTTCAGGTACTTCTTACTGATATTATTTTAAATAATATTCATTGTCAAATAATGCAGGGTAGGATAAAATTTTATTCTGTCACTTCCTGCTACCTTACAGTGAACCTAGATTTGAGATTGCATAAATAGACAACCTTAAAGTGAAGGCACCATGAGTAAACCATGCATTTGGATATTTCTGTATGACATAGGACCAACATGACACATCTGACCTAAACATAAGCCAGATCAACTTTCTAGAATCATTTGATCAGGCTCACTTGTGTATTCAAGCCAATCCAGGAGGTGTTGCAGTTAGTGTGTTGTACAGGTTCCTCTTCTGCATTTGCTGCATGAAGAGTTGATGGAGGAGGGAACATATTTTTCTGCATTAATATTGTTTATATTGAAGATCTGAGAAACCTTTTCATTTGCAAGTTGAAGTACAAATGTCAGATTTATTTCACCACTAATATGGTCTCCTTGTTACCTTCTTTTTCTCTCTTAAAGCTCAGAGATAAGCAGACCTGAAAATAAGGGGCTATCTGCTGCTTTGAGTCTCTTAGAGGAAGCAAAAAAAGAAATAGATTCTTATTCCAAGGGTGGACCCATTTCATTTGCAGATCTCATCCAATATGCAGGTGAGAAGGGACAAAACATGCTGAGTTTTCTAGTCATAAACTCTACAACTTAGATGTTGGTATCCATATTATCTTAGTCATGTATTTGGTGCTCTGCTCTGATATTATTCCAATGAATAAAGCAATCTCATAAATCTGCCTCTCAGTGTAATTTGGTTAAGGCTGTAGATTAAAAGTCACTAAGTTCTTGATAAAGGCAATTACATTGACAATTTGGGAAATGATCCAACCAAGTGGTCAGCCGCTAAATGATATATATAATTGATGAATTAGTAAGCCATATCTAGATTACAGTTTTATAGTTCCCTGGTGTCTTCCAGTGGTGCTTGCTTAATGGTTTTTTATTGTCTTGTCTTCTTTTTCACTATCATGGTATCACCTATTTTAAATGTCCTCTCCAATTAGTTATTATTCTTTTTTATTACTTACCAGAAAAATTTCTCCTCCAGTTAAGTAACCTTGTTTTTTTTGTTCTTTTTGTTAGCTAAATAAAATCAACTAGTACTGATGCCTTCCATATCCCCATCATTTACTCTATTTTCTTCATAATCCAGCACAAGGAGCACTTAAGAGTACCTTCCTTGCATCTGCGATTCGCAAATGTGGTGGAAATGAAGAGAAGGGGATCTTGTTATATACTGCATATGGCTCAAATGGACAGGTTTATTTCTTTATTTCTTTCTCTAATATAATGATATTTCTAAAATATTGAATTTCAATTACAATCTTTTTACTGCAATGTTGTCACTATAATGACTAAGTATCCCTGTTTCTACCATAAGGTATCCTTTGCAATACAGTTCAGGCTTTTATAGGATAATCATCTATTATTATGACACAATCTAAGTGCAATTTATAATGAGCAATATCATTATTCAACAATCTTAGGAAATAGTAAGTAACCCATAAGGTAACAAAAGTAAATTAAAGGAAAATCACTTGTGTGTTTGCAGAGGGTTCTGGGATTTCCTCATTCTTCTCTGCAAACCACAAAATAAATAATTTTTCCACTCTTCTTGAGGATTATAGAAGTACATACTGATGCATCTATTTGCTTTTGTGCCACCAGTGGGGCTTGTTTGATAAACAATTTGGGAGGACAGATACAGAGGAACCAGATTCAGAGGGAAGGGTTCCGCAATGGGAGAAGGCATCAGTTCAGGAAATGAAGGATAAGTTTTCTGCTGTTGGACTTGGCCCTCGCCAGGTAATTGGTTCCATCATTCATTAACATCAGAACTTCACAATAAAACTGTCTTGTATTATAAATATCAATACTGTAATTAGAATGTGAAGACTTTTCTTGGTAGTGCCCATCTACATTTCATTGTATGAATCCAAGGCAAAGAAAAGAATAATTGTTGCTTGGTTTACCATGGTGTTTACTTTTGGAGAAAATGGTGGAAAACAAGTTTTCATCAGATATACTTTAGTTCAGCCCAAATACTCCAAAAAAAAATTAATAAAAAATAAAACCCAACTCAACCTTAAAATGTGCATAAGCAATATACTTTTACCAAAACATTTCAAAGTGAAGAAATAAAAGAGGTATCTGTTTTACCAGTTAACATTTTTCACATAAAACAAAATAAAATAGCACTTGTGTGTGTGTGTGTGTGTTTCTTTGGTTCTTATGCTTTTTAAAGGATGGCCTACACCTCCATTAAAATAGTCCTTGTATTTTATTATTAATTGATTTTTTTCTGATCTATTTGATTTATTAGTCCATAGCCAAATTGGCATTTGATAATAATGCTCTACAAAGTAACTATTTAATGGACCACATGTATATTCTTTTTGACCATCCAAAAGGAAACCTGATTGGTTTTTTTTGACCATTTTAATAAAATTTTTGCCACGTTGCATGAGAAGGAATAATGGATACATACAGTAATTTTGCATACAGAAGTATAAACTACCATTGTTAAAATCTTATGTTTTTTTGATAATATTCATTATTCAAATCACAAGTTCTAATTGTTTTAATTCAATCATTTTTCTGGGAAAATCTTATGGTTATTGTTTGAATCTTATGATATATCAGATTCATATGATATGAATCAATTTTCTTTCAAGGTTTCATTACTAAGGGGCGGAACTCCCAAAATAAGATGCACAAGCAAAGAAACTATACAAAGAGAGACTGTATAGTAGATACAAGAAGAAGATAAACCTCTCTACAATATAAAGTCTTTATTTGTTTTCGGGGACCTGGTTTTATATTTTTGTTATTTCTTTTCCTTTTTATTGATTTTTTTTGGTGACAGGCTTTTGTTTTAAAACCTTACTAGAATAGGTCACATTTTGGTTATTTAAAAACCTATTTCAAGATTTTTTGTGCTTATTTTGATAATATGTGGGTTAAAGATCCATTGTTTTCACTTTTCGATTGAATTAACATTAAAATCAAACTTGATTATATCATATTACATTTATATTGTAGAAGTGGTGAACTTTGTTGTATTAAATATCCATATGATGGATATTGACTGAAAATAGGGGCCAATTGCTTGGTGCATGGTAAAATTTTGGGCCAACAGGCATGGAAACATGGGTTCAAGTGGCCATTTTGTGCAAAAAATGCCAAGACCAACATTGGGTAATGGCTCTTGGATATGGATAAAAATATGGTAAAATCAATTTTTATATATTTGAGCTTTTAGTACGTATATTTTTACTTGCAATTTTATCTGATCTAACATTGTCTATGTTTTATGATACCATTACAATTTCAGAACGTAGGAAACAACCATAACTATAGCAAGTCAACTTCTGTAGCTACCACATACATTATCTCCAATGCACCAATCCAAGTTTTGAATTGTTGGATTACCTCTTGGGAGTTTTTGACTCCCTCCCAAAAAGCAATTGCCTATCCCAAGGTTCCTAGTTGTCTATTCAAAAAGTGAGGAGCTCAAAGAAAATCAAATACTTATATGATTTCATTCTTTTTAGTCCATACAGGAAGCAATCATTGATTGAATTATTTCTGTCCATGCACAGATAGGAAGGTTGCAATTATTAAGCACATTTGCAGGATTCAGAATGTCTTGTAGGGAAAATCAACCAAAGATATCAACTTAGAGAGCTATAGGAAATGGAGGATCATAGGAGGAAAATTGCAAGCTAGATATGTATCTATAAGTAGAAATCTGCTGAATTAAAAAATATGAAAGAAAGTAGTTTCTTGAAGAGAGAAGGAAGAGAGAAGGAGAGGAAGAGAAGTTGAAAGAAAAGAGAGCAATAATTTGGTCGCATAGCAATGAGATTCCCCAATATCATGCTAAGAATAGCTAGGATTTCCAGGAGAAGATGCCATTCGTTTGATGAGAAATAAAAAGGAATATCGAAAATTCGAGTGGCTGAAGCTGAAGCAGCTACTTTCGAAGTAACAGAAAGAAAAGMAACGACTKGAGTGGGAGAGTCAGAGTCGAAAAGAGGATTCCTCACTTCTTTCTCTCATTCAAAACCGTGCATGAGACTTTCATCTCGCACGGCTCCTAAGTGATAAAAGAAAGAAGAACTCATCTTCT